CATTCCCATCCATTCGCAACCATTCCCATCCATTCCCATCCATTGCCAAGCATTGCCAAGCATTCCCATCCATTCCCATCCATTGCCAACCATTCCCATCCATTCCCAATCATTCTCATCCATTCCCATCCATTCCCAATCATTCTCATCCATTCCCATCCATTCCCATCCATTCCCAATCATTCCCAACCATTCCCGGCCATTCCGAATGGCCGGGAATGCCCGAATGAGCTTTTTCCCCCTTGCCCCACCCACACCCACACCCTAATGATTAATTAGAATGTGAACAATGTAAAAAATGCACTATTTCCTTTGACTCTGTATTCAATATTTTAATAATTATCTTGAACAATCCATAATGAAAGTATTACACGAAAGTTCAAAAGTTTTGACGTGACTAAGTTCGATGAACTTTACAACAATGTTCATCAAATTTATATATATGAGAACTCAAATAATCATGCAAGTTTCAAAAATATTTAAATGAAAGAACGTCTTAAATACAAGAAGTGGTCTCTGATTACGTCAAAACTAATAAAGAAGATTATATTCTAATACTTTTCTTGTTTTCTAGTAAAACATATGACACCTTCTATATTTTTTTTAAGAAAAAAGACGAATCTTGCGCGTATATTGAAAGTATTTTTTTAAATAAAGCATGTTGACACGTTTTCATTGAGATATTTCCATAAAAGTTCATCGTTTTTTCTTTTTAGAAAATTAATTTTTCTAGAATTCAAGAGCAAATTTCTTCACACTAACTTCGAACAATAGTTATTCAACTCTACTTATAAGTTATTAAATATTCGGCAAGTGCTTGTGCATCATGATAAGTGACGTAAATATGGTTCCCATCAGTTGTTGAATCGAATCCTACAGGTCGAGTTTTCATTGAGCGATTCCCCATAGTCGTTTTCCCAATTAGAACACGCGAAACAAACATACATCGTTCTTCATTGGCATTCGGTTGAGCATAATCATGACTATAGACTGCATTCGATGAAAAATAAACACCAACACCGTATATCGTTCCTAAAAGAGAGAAATATTCAAAAGAAATTTTTTTTTTTGAAAGGAATAAACAAAACTTACCGTTCACTCCAGCAAAACTTCTATTAAAACAGTCTTGGATAATTAAATTGACTGATTTTTCAGGACATCCATGATATAAACGTTTTTCAGTATCTACTGTAAGCCTTTTTTTAAAATCTCGACTATGCGCCAAATATTGTAAAAGCCATCGCTCATTTTGAATACGTTCGATTTTTATTATTTGAGTATATCTTCCTTTCATTGCCTTATCGAACGGTTTGACAACAGACTTGTATTCGTCTGTATGAGTCGGCACTACAAATCGTAATTGATGGCTTGTTGATTTCACCCATGTTGCTGGTAGTTGATCTTCAATCGATATTTTGACAGCCTCTAAACAGATTTACGGCGATTTAATGAATTCTTCTATCAAACAGACACTTGTTTCCTGGTGTTTTTTACTCTCATGAAATAGATTCATCCCAATGATACAAATCGATTAGTTTACTCTATGGTGTTCATCAAAGTTTATCTAAACTTTATATTTCTTTAGAAAGATCCTCCATTGATTATTAAGATATCCAGCATTAAAATCTTTTTTTTATCTTACTCAATCCATTAGTGGAATTCAAATGGCACATAATAATTACAGAAGCAATCGAAGCTTTTACCTTCTTCGGATGCCAACACTTGTTTACAAAATTCATCATAAATATTTTGTTGCTCAGGTCGAATAACAAACTTGACTGTCAATGATAAATTTCTTGTTTTCAATTGATTTTTAATTTCTTGAACCAGTGTCTTGATTACAATATCTACTGAACAACCGTATCCTCCACATCCAATTGCTGGACATGCAATTGATGTGTATTTGTAAGAGATAACATTCTGGATAATATTCCATACGAAATCGATGATCGATTGTCGAAGTTTCGAGTCATCTGCATCTGGTTCCCATTTAAGAAAAAAGATTCGCTGACAAGATAATTTCCCAGGTGGAGTTGAGATCAAAATCGAATTCGGATTGCGTTTATATTCGATTTCAAACGCAGTTTTAACCTCATCACCAGCTACTTCGATTATGGCATAATGTAAGGCTATCGATGATGGGCTTCCAATAATAACATCAACCTATTAAAAAAATCGTAGAATTTAAAGTATGTTTTTGTACTGTTCCATGGTCTTAGCTCTTTACTTTTTGCGTTGTTATATTACCCTTTTCCACTATAATCGTACCGTTTCCAATTGGGAGGGATACTGTTGGTGTTTCTGGAGTTCGTTCTAATGGTTCTAATTGTTCTGATGATTCTAATAAGTCAATTTGGTTTTTAAACTCATCATAGATATCTGTTCTATCTGGTTGTATTATAAATGAAACGGCAATTGGATACAAAGTTTGTAATTGATGGGCTTCTTCAATTAAAGTTTTAGCAACAAGACTGAGAGAACAGCCGTATTGGCCACAACCAATAGCCGGAAATGCAATACTCTTATAATTACCATTAACTGCCTTTTCAATTGCATTTGAGACGAGCTTTTTCAATGACGTACCGAGTACTGTTTCATCAGAATCGGGTTCCCATGGAATAAAATAAATTACTTTCGCTAGTAGTTGTCCACTAGCTGCAATTGCAATGATATTTGCTGGATTTTTTCTATACTCAATGTTGTATGAATTCATTAAGGCATCTCCACCTGCTTGTAATACACTTGTGAGCAAGCCTATTGATGATGAGCACACGACAACAACATCAGTCTGATGCAAATGCAAAATCTTCCGGTTTCATCGAAATTTTTTTGCAGATATGAACTTACTCGTTCTTTTGTCAAATCACCTTTGCGAACATGGATCGGTCGATCAGAACTTGTACTGACTCCCATTAAAGTGTAAAGTAATATTTAATGAAAACTAAGCTGTAACGAAAAATATATAATTAAGCCTGTCGTATACGTTGAATGTAGAAATACACAATGTATAATGTAGACAAAGCAGAGTATACAACAAGCTTGTACGTATAAACGTCGCAATAGTATTGTATCCTTGACTGATATAATTTCGTTACTGATTTGCCAACTTGCTCGCTTAATGAATAAGAGTGACTGTCTACACTAGGCTGTAACTATTCGAGAACTAACTCCAACTGTTCTATTTTACTCTCAGAGACATCCATATGTACAGAGACAAAAAGAAAAAGAGAGATAAATGAAAGATAGAAATGGTAGAGAATGGAAAGGGAAGAAGGACAAGGAAAGAGAATGGAGATATTAGAGAACAAATTATTTGATGCTCGAGAGAGAACAAGGGGTATTACACAAAAGGACGTTCGCCGTATTGTGTAAACTCTATTGGTCTTATCTAGTTGGAGAAATGTGCTTGTTAGCATCGTTTCACGTGATATCGATTGGCACAATGAGAAGAGATGGCGTGCTTCTTGGCACATAAGTAAGATGCTCAAGTTTTACTTAGTAATTTATTGGAAATGATCCTAACTAAACAAAGCAAAAGCATTTTTGATAATTTTTCAATTTTCTAGACAAAACATTATAGATCAATAAGAAACCATACAACTTTTTTAAGGAAAAAATTTAACTATGCAGTTATCGTATTAATAGCATTTGAGCTGTTTTTTGTAGTCGTCCTTCTTTTCTGTTCTTCACATAAACGTATATCTTTCGCTACAGGAAGTGATTTGTAAAATTTCAACTCCTTGCCTATCCCGATTATATGCTTGGAAATATACACTTTGAAGAAACTTGGATATTTATATTATTGACTTGACAAAATGTCATGCATCAGTTCATTTTTCGTTCTCTAAACGTTTGATGTGAAGCCATTGTATTTTTAATATCATGACACCATATCAGAAAATACTTTAATAAATCAATTTCATGAAAAATTATTTAGCGTACAAATCGATTATTAAACTTTGCAAATATTTCAATTAGTAAGAAAACTTGACTTAACGGAACATTCAAGAAATTTTATTTACCAAGCGTATACAATTTTACTTCACACACAAATTGCAGTCTTTTATATTTACAGCTGATAATCTCAATAAAAAGAGATCATGATGAAACTTATCAATCGTTTTAAAAGCTTTCTTCTTCACCGGTATAACAGTTCGTAGCTTAAAATTGCATAGAAAACTATCCTCACGATGAATTACAGAAAATATTTTACTACAAGTTAAGCTAGTTGATGCTGCCGAAATAATAACAATCAATCAAGAAGAGATGACTCTTACAGACTATTGAAAGTTCAAATAGTGTTCAACGCTATTAAAAAGTATGTGGATGTACTCCTACCCCCTCAAGATGAGAATTGATTCAGTGACATAATCTTTCATAGAAACTCTTACTTTTTTCTCTAACGCAGATTTAGACTATACTTTAGATGTCATCATGAAGTTTGTAATTAACGAAATCGATCAATTGTTTACAAAACCCTTTGCTTATTGTCTTTTTGTTATTGCGACTACTGATGTAGGAGCTGTAGCAGAGATTCGATTGAAGTAATTAATTTCTATGAAATAACATCTGTTGTATGATGAATTGTTTTCTCTCAAGTAACCTCTTCTGTAGTACAGATCTCCTACTACTTTACGTTCGACACAGGCGATCATAGAAAAAAGAAATAGACATACCCAGTTTTTGCAATGAAATCCAATGGTTTTGATAAGACAATTATATCTAAAAACAGAGAGAAAGACCAAGTCTCATGATGATAAACATAGAAAACGATTTGGGTGTAACTGAGAAAGTGATATAATGATTCATTAGTCTTCTATAGCATATGTCCGCAACATTACGTCCATCCTCCTACCTCGTAGTAACCAAAATAGAGCAGTGTATCGATTCTTCTGAACAGGAATGCCAGCTAACTGAATGTGGATGGATTTTAGAATGAGAGTGAAAAATAGAATTGAGGTAGTTCACAAACTAAGCGTCACATTGTCGTTAAGTTGTTCGATTCGTTTTGAGTGACTCTGTTTGTATTCAGTCTTACGTATGTGCAGAACATGTGAGAAAAATCCTGTTGAAAAAACCAACAGCAATTTTTTTCTTTCTTCAGCCGCATCGAAACATAAGTAGATGTGAGAGAGGCGCTTCAAAAAAATTTTCAATGAAAGCACAGAACGTGAGTCAAATCATTGGTGTACATGTTTTTCTATTAATTTCATCCTTCAAAAATGTTTTTACAAAAGCAACATTCCTACCAACAACCAAAATCACACTATCAAGCCTTATCTCAGCACTTTGAGACAGTGGGAGAAAAGGAAAGAATCTCATCTTTATCTGTGTTTACAGCATGTCATGGCCACACTGCAAGGGAAATACGACGTGTGGGTGTGTATAACTCATATATAGCTATTCACACCTACACCCACACCCAAAGTTACTCAGCATATCTAATACAGAGTCTTAATTGTAGCGGTTCTTAGACGTCAAATAGTCTTACAACAAACCATACCAAACAGAATGACTCGTCAAAAGCTTAAATTTGACTGAGAATTTTAGTGGTAGAAGACACGAATCTCATTCATAAGTGGTTAACATAGCAGCAAATTCAAGAACTTCTAATAGAATTTTTTAATCATGTAGAATAGGAATGTCACGGTGACAATAACTGGTCTTAACTGGTAACCGTTTCATTGGTAACCAGTATACATCGGCATAAGTTGATATAAAATTGATACCGGTTTATAGCGAGATGTGGTTGTGGCTGTACTGTGGGTGGGACAAATGTGACAATGAGTGCCAATGTGGGTTCGAGTGTTCTCTTCATTTACATCCGCACCCATATCCGCCCCCCCCCCCGCCCACACACTCACACACACCCACACACTCATATCTACACCTACATTCAGCCACCCAATCGACCCAACACCACACCCTCAGATACTTCCAGACTTTAGTAGTCTGTGAAGGACTGATCGAAAATTATTTTAAAATCAGAGTGCAATGGCAAGTGAATTCTCCATTCTAAATCTGAAGGATTTTATCGATAGAACTTATGCGTTAGCATATGTATGTATTTGATGTATATGAATTTATTATGTGCATAATGCATTATATGTGTACTCAGACAAAGAATATCGTTTCACTGTAGCATAGCATTGAATAACATCACTCGGAATTTTTTGTCAGAATTAGTGGTTCAGGTTCGATCACATAGGAAGCAGAACTGACGCTTTTTCTCTTCGTGGTTAGAGGTGTAAGCCGCCAGTCTAAGCCGCCGCCGCCGATTTTTTTGAAAAGTAAGCCGCCGCCGCCACGGAATCGTAGATAATTTTAAGAATTTTTTAGGAGCCGCCGCTGTGAAAAAGTAAGTTCAGCCGGTGCGCCGCCGTCACGAACGAAAACTT